TATAAAAAAACAACTTATTAAGCCCTTCTCTCCTTCTCCATCTCTACCCTTCCTGTGTAATGGTAGGAAAAAAAAATGTGGAAAAATAAAGATTGATGGCATTTTTCTAGCTCAAAATACATGTCATTGTCATCTACAGAGCTGCTACCCAGGGGAATATGTCTGTTTCTCTGCACCTTGTTCAGTGAGATTCCTTTTCTTTCTTGCCATTTCTTAATTTGAAGGAAGTGATTGTAGGAATTTCTGAGGCCAGACATTAGTGAACTAAAAAAACAAACAAACAACAAACCCAAACAAACCAACCCCAAATAAAAGTTATTTGCAACCCAGAGGAAAAATGGAAAGGTCTGTTGGAGAAAATCAGAGGCAAGGAGAGAGAGATGGGCAGAATAAGAAAGGATGGGAAATAATTTGATTTAAAAACACAGTGTCAGAGGGAAACATTGCTCCTATAATCATGCACACAGACACAGGGGAAGGCTCTGCTGACACACAAAGCACACACTGAACAGAAAGGGGATTTATTAAGCTCCACAAAAAATGTAATCTGCTGTTTCCTACCAGAACAGTAAATACATGTTAGGAACCAAACCACTGCCTCTTTTAATGCAATTCCTGTCTGCATGGGCAGGCCAGGGATACATTTCTGAACACATATTAGAATTAAATCACAAAAAACTGTGCAGTATTTTCATTGGCCATGAGTAAATGCATTTAAAGAGGTTTTTACTATTACTGACCTCACGTATTTTATGTCTGAAAGAAAACCAAGAAAACACAATAAAGGAGGCAATTCCATTTTAATAGTCTGTGTTGGGTCAGTGTGGTGGGGTATTGGTAGTGGGCAAGTGGCCCCAGGGGTGGCTCCTATGAGAAGCTGCTGGAAGCTCCCAGCTTACAGTTACTCGATGTCCTCTGGCCTCACAGGGTGAGGCAGAGGTATAATGGATTTCTTCTCCGTGTCTCTGGAAAGAGCTTTCCTCATATCTGTGGCAAAAGAAAAGAAGTGCTATTATATTGAAGCAGTTAGTGCACAAAACCATATCAAGTTAATTTTCTATTACAATAAGATAATTTTTAATCAAGAGTATTTCCTAGAATCATAGAATATCTCAAATTGGAAGGGACCATAAGGATCATTGGTTCCAACTCCCTGCTTCTCACAGGAACACCAAAACTAAACCACATGACTGAGAGTGTCACCCAGACGCTGCTTGAGCTCTGACGGGCTTGGTGTTGCGATCACTTCCCACCCTCTCCGTGAAGAACCTTTTCCTAGTGTTCAGTCTGAACTCATGCAGCTTCATTCCACTTCCTCATCCTATTGCTGGTCACCAGAGAGTGCAGCACCTTCCCCTCCCGCTGCAACCCTGAGGAGGTTGTAGACTGCAATGAGGTCATCAGCCACTACTCCCAAGTCTTGTCCTCGAGACCTTTCACCATCTTGGTCTCCCCCCTCTGATCACACCATTATTGGTTTGATGTCCTTCCCACTGTTCAGCAGTGATGTCATCAACTGGAATTTAACACTGCATGAGACCCAACCGAATAGAAAGGAAATGGCAGGCCTTTAGGTCCCCTTAGGGACAACACATGATTTAAGGCATTTGCAACAATGGTAGATGTCTGTCTGTGCCCTCTATTTCATAGCGCTCCTGTATATCAAACAAGTAGTGCAAGAACAGAAAAGAGACACAGCATGGCCACGTAACACTTCGGGGAGGATATTTAAAGAAGATCTAGAAAGAGAAAGCAGCTGGTACTTCAATTTTGTTAACAGAATTAGTGTTAACATACTTGAATTTCCAAATACCCTTGGAATGAAGGGAATGAAAAAACAGGTAAGAGACTGTATTTTCATTTTCATCTTACCTACAAGATTAATCTCATTGCACTTAAAATTTTTTTCTTGTTTTGTAGTTTACTTTGCCATAGATGCTACAAAATGTGTAAA